TTCATGATCAGGGTCCTCTGCTTCTTCGTTTGATATCTCAGATTTTTCATAATGACAAATGGCGTTCACAAGGGATAGAAGGATTGGGAAATCATTTCTTGCGAAAATGTCGTGATGCAACCCTTGTGCTTGTATCACTCCAGTTGTAATAAATAGGGTGACCTTGTACATAAGTTGTGTGTCCTTTACTAAACCAATACAAATTGCTTTGTTACTTTCAGCCACCCAGTCATTCGGTTCGTCATACCAGTCTACTAGATATGATAAGGCCTCTAACTTCCCATAATGTTCATAATAGAATATTCCCAGAGCTCGTATCCATGCTTCTAATCTCTCCCTAGTGATACGAAATGCTACCATGTGAGCCGCCTGATCATATAACGAGTTGTCGATCTTTTCAATTTCTAGTTTCTTTGCTTTAGGCCCTGATGGGTTTTTGAAGTTATCAGGTAAGCACTCTTGAGGGTATTCCTTGTAAATTACACTCACTGACAAATCCACCTTCGTTAGATCTACTTTGAATGGTAAACTCACTACCTCCGCCATTTTGACTTTGGCGCCATCCCTGTCATCGATATTGTTTACAGATTTGTCACTTTCAGCCATTTTCTATACTTCAATGTACTGTTTGTAAATTAATTTGCAGTCTAAAATATCTGTATACCTTTGTGCCAATCTACATTCATACACTTCTTTTCCATAGAAAGGGATAACAACGCTGGCTATTTTTTCATCAACCGTGCATCCATAACCGGAACCGGATAACCCACGTAGTTTTTAAAAATAAGTTCTTTACACGAAGCACTAGAAAATTCATCTAATTTACTTAACCGCATTTATATTGTCTGCAAGTGTAATGATCAAGAAATAACAATAAAATAATATATTTACAGGGTGATAATAAGTTGGAATTTAATTGGATCCCCTTATTGTGAAGAAATGTGTGATTTGTTTTTTCAAGTTAGGTGATATATTATGTTGAGGTGCTTTTAAAATGAGAATTAGTTGGAAATTTATAAAAATTGCTGCAAAGCAAGAAGACAAAATACACAGAAATAAATTGATCGAATTTGATGTTCTTAAAATGTGTGTCATTGAATGTAGTGTCATTGTGAAAAGTAAAATATGAAAGGTAAAGATCACGTACAGCGATCGATCGTAAAAAAATTTCAATAAACAATACACATCTGTGAAAAAGGGAATAAAACATGGACCCCTGGAAATTCCTAAAGTGGGATCGTGTGCCTAGGAGGAGTAAGCATCCCCTTTTGATTGGCTAAACCCACCGTAAGCCCCAGGTTATGATCAGATAGACAAAGTTATCTGTAGTCAATTCAGTATAAGAACAAAGGCCTAACAATTTGTGTGAAACTAGTTAGCGAACTAACGAAATATTTAAACGAGCTCAACTTATCAGCGAGTGATGTAGGATCGAAAATGAAGTGTGTAAAGCAATATGATTGAAAAGGCGATTATGAAACCAAATTTGTTTTGGACACAAAGTGTCCAAGATTTATTAATACTCACCTTTAAAGTGTAAATGTTTTTTTATGTACTTATAAAATTACACAATTGTACTTGTTAATTGTTTTAAATGCGGTCAAATCTCGTTTTTACATAACGTTAGTTACAGTGTGCAGAGGATGGGATATGAAGCATTTCATGGTTTTATTTTTTAGAATAGTTTTAAACCTTTCAAGGCTTTAGAAATCAAAACAGGAATACCAATCTAATTGATTTTTTTTTTTATTTTACCATAAAGCTCCAGTGTTAAAACATAGAAATTCAGACTCAGTGATATTTTACATAGAAGTTCAGACTCAGTGATATTTTACATAAAAATTCAGACTCATCAACTCATTTTGGTCCATTTATCACAAAAGTGGAAATTTCAAAGTAAATACTTTTTTGTATAAGCATCTAATGCCAGTTACTTATAACACATGTACATTTATTATATGTAGCGATTACGAGTATGAACTCTAAAAAATAAGAAACAGCTAAATAATAACACTTTAACTAAATTATGAGTATGTCTGTCATAATTTATGGGTTTCTTTGGTTATACTTTGCAATGACTTTGTTTTGGTCAAATTTCTTTCCTTAATGCAATTTCGGAGTGATCCCAATATTCTAGTTATATGAGATTTATAGGATTGTAAAAACTTTTCATTAAAAGTTCTGATCTCTTTCGCATTTTCTTGTTTTATCATTGGTGGAGGGTATGAGGATTGTATACCACATGTATATTGTAGACACACTCCTTAGTCTGGACAACAGGAATAAACCTGGAAACAATTTGATCGGGGAGACTATGAGATGTTGTCATTAGTTCAAAGCGAAACCGTCTGATTACGACAGACAGTAATCCCAAAAAGCACAGAAGAGATTTTCACACCTGTGAATTATGATGTTACTATGAGCTAAAACGATTTTAAACTGCTTTCTATAGGATAGTACATGTGTTATAGAACTTTCTTGTTATTTACACAAGATAAGAGAGAGAGAGAGAGAGAGAGAGAGAGAGAGAGAGAGAGAGAGAGAGAGAGAGAGAGAATAATGCTATGCTATGTAGCCAAGTGATAGACAAAAATGTTCTAAAAATGAAATGATTTCAATTTTCGCTGAAATATTGCCGACTCGACGTTAAAATCAATCGATTAGTAGACTCGAGTTGATCCAAAAGTAATGTCAAAACTGCTATAACATCTTTGATATTTGAAAGTTTTCAACAAAATTCAACATATTAAAATCTCTCTCTTTTTTTTTTTGCCCTAAAACGTCATTGAAATACATTTTGCAATACTTTATGAAATACTAAAATAAACACCACATTGGGTATCGTCTGTCATCGCAAAGAATCTAGTTACCGTATACAGAGATAGCGAAGATTCAAGATCAAAAGTCCATTCAAACAACACTTATCAGGAGCAGAGCAAACGCAGACTTCTAAATTATCAGACGTGGGATAAGGTGCCAAGGAGGAGTGAGCACCCCCTGTTTGTTTGTTTATTTACACTCAGACCATACAATGGTATATCAGGTACAAGACAAGAACATACTTACATATATACAAAATACAAGGCCAAATAAGGAAGAGTAGTGTCAATTAAAGAAAATAGTTATTAGAAGCAGGCCAATATCTTTTTAGCAAACAAAGACAGTTTTAACAGTGAGTCAACATTTGTGATGGAAATAATTTTCTCAAACTTATATAAGTATTTACATGAGAACAATACTTCTTATATTAATAATTTTTACACATAAAGACTAAAAAATTTTGACATTCCATTACATAATGAAATTCATCACCCAAAGTATTTTTGCTACATAAATTACATAATCTTAAAGATCTATCAGTATTAGTCCATCTACCAGATTCGATTGGAAGTTTGTGGTTACAAGTTCTAAATTTTGTTAATACAATTCTTAAGTCTTTTTGGAGTTTACTTAAGTACATTTCTCGTCCAAAATTGTTTTTGAAAATCCTGTAATTTAAACATTTAGATGAGTTTGCTATGCTCATATGCCAGTCTTGTATAAACTGATTTAACAATGTTTCTTTCACAATAGATTTTAACCATGTAATACTAATGAAATTTTGATTCATCCACACATAAGATAGACCACAGGAATTGCCTGTCACACCCGCAGTATGCTCTATATTATGAAAGGGTAATAACAAGAAAATCCGCCGACAATTTGGTGTGTAGATAATGCTCTAACAATTAGTTCATACAATTAGTATGAAAAACGACTTAATGATCTATAGATTCTATTTGCTGACCTTATGGTTAGAGCATAGAGCATGGTTAGACTATGCAATTTACGAAGTGATGAGTTGAAACAAATCTTTTGCTATTCTTGTTCAAGTAATTTCGTTGTCATAAATAAACTCATTTTAGTAATTTTTCATACGTAGAGCATGCTCTTGCGAATCAAATCAAGTGAGATATAAATCCCATATGCAAGTGATAAGAATACTAGTATATTGCTGCTTATGTAAGGGAAGTTGACGATTGAAAAGTTTGTAATCACATTTATTATAGAGCTTAGTTGTTAGACTACCATTAAGGTTTTTTAAGTAAAATATGAAACAAGTATGAAACAGATCTGTCACACTTTGTGGTACCTTTTATTTCAAGCTCACTGAAATATATTCATATGTCGTGATGAATGGAAATAACTTTCTTAATTGATAATACTTCGTCGACATATCTTAATGTCGAGTTGGAAGACTCGGCAAGTGTTTTTTTTCTTTTTCTCATGTATAAGACTTTAAATAAAGTCTACTTTATATGAATACAAAAATAATACTGCTGATAACGGGGTGCAATTGTTACCCATTGGAATTCCAATAGGTTGTTGGAAAATCTGGTCTCCAAAATCCTCATACATATTGTCAATCAGAAACGCCAGTACTTTTTGAATATCAACTTCAGAGTATCTGTGTACTGAGTATCTTTGTATCTGTTTACAATCAGTGTTTTCTAACAAAATAATTTTACAGAAGACCAAGGACAAAGCATATTTTCTCTTCGAAACTCATTTCGAATTAAAAGATTTAAACACAAAGGAGTGAACTTAAAAACAACATTTTGACTAAGTCAAGTAATTTCTGTTTCACAACTCAAAACGACGATTTGTAGCAACCGTTAAAGAGTACCACACAAGAGGTTAAAAATATCTGAAACCGTGGGCTAAAAATTGACATCATGTGAAGGTTATTCTGCTAGCCATAGGTAGACAAATTCTTAAGTTGTGTGTTTTTTATATCTTCATATTTAAAAGATCTGAATGAAATTGTAAGACAAAAAAGCAATATATAATGTAGATAGGGGTATTCATATATAAAACTTTTTTGAAAACTTTTGATTATCAAAGATTAAATAACTGTTGTGACATTTCTTTTGGATTAAACCTCGCATAAATCACCCATCTAAAGCAATATGTAATTACAGTTTTAAGAAATCCTCGTCATGCTGTTGGAGTTATCTTACCTGACGTGCTGGCAGCTGGTCCGCCAGCGGAGTTTGTAGTTTCGTCTTTACTGGTGTTAATGTAGAGAACAATGAACACAACGCAAACGACTAAAACGGCTACACTAAATATTATAAGGAACTTCTCTAGGTTTGTTCGAATGCCTTTCTTCTTGAAACTGCAAAAAGAAAAAACTGGCAATCAAAAAAATTATGCCTCGTATATTATTAGGTTAACTACTAAAAACGAGAATATTAAAATGACTTTTACAAAATTTACAAGCATTCGTCAAAAATATTACATGCATTCGTAAACAAAATAATAATCTGCTCTAAAACGTAGATTTGGAATTCCTTAGTAGCTTTCATCTAAAATTAAATAAAAGAGGGCAGTTTAAGTGCGTCAGAGACTCGTGTTCATATCTGGCTCAAATTATAAATAAGATAAAACACCGACGTGTTAATTGGCAATCTAATTAGCTATTTCAATTCTTTGGTATAGACGTAATAAAGATGAAAACTGATGGTCAATTTTCATGTACGTTAAAAAATTAACACATCTACTATCCAAAATGCATATATTTCTTTATTGAACAATCAATTTACATACTAGTATTAAATTCAAAGCACATTTTGAAGACATTATCGCGTGGCAAAGTGTACATTAGATACATGTACATACATACATACTGAATAAAACACTAAAAGGAAGAATGTTTATGAACATCAACCGTATATTACATCAAAACGTAATGCATTTATAGAAATATGAACAAAGTACATATTCTCGCTTCAGTGCATGCTACCTTTATTCATTGCTGGATGGTTTGTTTTAATTTAAAAATACATGTAAATAAAACGCAATCTGCATCTAGTGAATGCGCATTTATTATGTCTTATTTACTTTAAAAAATTATATTTCTGGCATAGTTACTTAATTTTCTGTGATTTATTTTGAGGTTTTTAACAGTTTTAATGTTAATTTTAATCAACACCGTGTTTATAGGACCTTGACAAATAAATACTATACAAAGAGGCTTACCTTAATTGTACATCTTGTACGTCTAATTTCGTATCACCGTTAGTTTGCTTTCCATTTTGCATTATGCCGTTTTTTAACTTTTTTTCCCGTTCTCTTTTGATTTTCTAAGCAATATCTGCTCTCTCAGATCTTTGGGGGTAACAAAAACACCCCCTGGGCTCTTCTTGTAGATTCTAGCAACGCTATCACCTGACGGTCAGTAAACGAGATATCGTAATTCGACCGATACCTTGTTGCGCCCTCTCCTAAAATCGGCGACACACAAATTGGTACAAGTAGAGCTGTAAAATCGGGTAGATTGTCTTTTGGTAGATTTACATGTAGGTAATGTGGATATGACACACACCGAAATTTACTGAGGTAACTCAGGTACCTTCTGTGCAATGAGCGTAAAATCTTTGAAAAGCGATTGTTTTTTTAAATACTTTTTTTTTTAAAAGTTTTGTCGATATTTATTGTTTTCTAACACTGGATGTAAGTAATATAATAGCTTTTTGTTTCAATAATCCTTAGCATGTTTTTATGTTTCATTTCAACGAATCTAAAGGAAAGTCATTTATGTATAAAAAAATTTTTTTTATAATTGTGAGTAAAGCATTGCTGCATCGGATCTTTTATTTTATATTTTTCTCATATATAAATCTTACTTCTTGTCATGATTCCAGTTTTAAAAAATCGTATTTTATTCTGCAACATTGATTAAAGCTTTGTGGAAAGAACAGGGATATTAGACAAGATTTACATATTGTTTATAACTTAGCGTTACTGCTCCATTGACTATAGTGAAAAAAAGTAATGGAAAACATGTGCATGTATATAACTAAATTAAAGGAATGATTTGAAATAGAAATTATGTTTTCAATAAGGCATGGATTGATTATTATTTGAAAGGCAAGAAGGAATATTTTGCAATGTTAGCATAAAATTATCTGTTTCCTTTTTACATCATGGAATATTAAGAAAAATGTTATTTCATTGTTGAAGTTTGTTAAATTTTTTTTTCATGAATTTCGAGTAATTTACCAGAAACCACAGTCGAACAATATTAGCCATGCATTGACCGAATTCGCAGAAAGAACAAACATCACATTATATTTACTGAAAACAATCTAGAACCACTGCATACAAGGTGCCATAAACTAATTCAGATTTATCAATTCATAAAATATTTTATGGACACCTGATATGGCGGTGCTCTGTTAGACACAATTGAAAACGCTAGGTGGAAAAATTGAATAGTTATTTATTAATAAATCAATGACGAAGCAACCTAGATATGACAATGCATTTCCAAACAAAATTAAACACAACTGAAAAAAAACAGTGTCTATCAAAATCATGAAAATATTTAATCATCAAAATGCCTTCTTTGGTTGTAAGTATGAATATTTAACGTTGCAGCTGTTGCAGATGCTGACGCGGGTTGTGTAAGTTTTTCCTGCAATAGCAATAAGCGCTCATTCCCGTAGAAACAGAGATGCATTTTGTTGTTTATATCAATATCTTTACAAAAACATTTAAAATAGTGTTTTTTTAGAAAATTTTTAGTAAATGATAATGAATATATTTTGATATGTGCTTCATTGTACATTTAATTGATGGAACAGCCACTGAAATATGCAGAAGCGATATTCTTATTTTTGTTTATAGACTGATAAACGACAATTGTTTCCTTAAGAAATGAAGGATATAATATTCAGTGGATGTGAACTTAATATTCTAATTTTCTATTATAATTTTCTATTTGAATTATAGTCATCAATAATACGCAATGAAATCACGCATGATACATAAATGTACAGTAAACAGAACGTATATTTTGAATTAAACGGTATGAAAATTCGTCAACTTCCGCCAACGATCAAAACCTATTTATTTGTGACTGAAATTGTATTGATTTTTTTAAGTTTCAGTTTCTATTATCTTACAATTACACGTATAAGTACACCAGATAAACAAGGGGGGTCCCCTTAAACATCAAACAAACGAAATGTATAACTCATTGTCTCGGCTTGGAATAAAACAAAATATTGAGCTCTCTCTTACTCCCCTCTATCTCTCATACTGTAATATGGTTGTAGTATAGTATGAGAGATAGAGGGGAGTAAGAAAGAGAGAAAGGCTGGGATAAGAGAGAGGGGGTGTGGGTAAAAGAGAGAAGGGTTGAATGAGTAAATAGGAGGGAGGGTGAGAAGGCCAGGGTGAGTGCAGAAGTGAAGCGAAAGAGGAGTCAAGGAGTTGTAATGACATTGTAATCCCCAGGAAGACTAAGGGAGTTCCCCCAAATTCTTATGGATTGATGGCAAGGGGCTGTGTCGTCTCAGCATAAGAGAACTGTCACATTCGCATGTAATAAGAGAGAGATATTTAATTATGTCGAAATGGGCAGCCGTATGATCCGATCGGAGTTCACACAGAAACTGTTGGAAAAAACACTGTGACAGCCTGGACTCCGGGAGCCCAGGCATTCAAAGGGCAGCGTATAACACCCACCTCGGAATGGAGATAGGAGTATGGAGGGGTACATATTAAAACAAGTAAGAACTACTCGTCTTGTAGCAAATGAAATATATTGAGCTAACGAACAGTATTCAGGCTCAAAAGTCCTTTAGATCTAAGCAAATTGCAATACAAATTTTAGAGCAAAGCAAACACGGATTCGTAAAGCAGTATAGACCTGTGGGACCAGGTGCCATGGAGGATTGAGCATCCCCTGCCCACCGGTCACACCTGCCGTTTGCTCCTTGTTATAATCGGGAAATAACGGGAAAATCCGTTGATAATTCAATATGCCAAATTGCTTATATACTGTTCAAAGCATTAATTTCATAAAAATACGACAATTACCTAAACATATTAATTATGCAAACCTATTATTCAAAACAAAAACTATTTCATAGGTTAATTTATTCGTCGCACACACATGCATGTACTTGTATAAAAATAACTCGTTCAGAACATCCACAAATCATGCCTTTTACCCTAAAAGTTTTTATATCAACCTAGAGCGACGTTTCCGATCTAACTATCGTAGGAACCAGAAATCTCTGTGGAGACTGTAGCTCTACTGGTTTGTACTTATAATAAAGGAAGAGAAAAGAAGCAGTTGGGACTTAAAACTTTAAAAAGCAATATATAGAATAATGATCCTCGATTAAGTCACTTTTTGTGTCAATATTGCAATAAGACTACAACTGTAGGAGTAGCTTTTAATAAAATTTTACAGAAATATTTTACAGAAATTTTAATCATCAAAAACATAAAACTGATTATATAAAACAAATATATAAAACAAATTATATTATAATCAGACTAAAACTGTAGAAGAAGTAGCATTTTAAAAGTATTTCACAGAAATTTCTATTTTTAGTCACCAAAGCAACATTGTTCATCGCAATCAAAAACCCATAAACAGAATTATGTATCTTAGTATAGTCTACTTGTGTGCCAAGTTATATTGAAATCAGACCAAAACTAAGGAGGAGTAGCGTTTTAAAAGTATTTCACAGAAAATTCTATTTTTAGTAACCACGGCAACACCCTTCATCGAAATCAAAAACCGATAAACAGAATTCTGTATCTTAGTGTAGTCTACTTGTATGCCAAATTATACTGAAATCAGACCAAAACTGTAGGAGGAGTAACATTTTGAAAAATTGTTAACAGACAGACAGACGGACGGACGGCGGTGTAACGACGAAAAGTGACCCCCGTAGAATATTGACCGGGGGTCATTTTTCTAGGTAGAATTTGACCCTCTGGTCAATATTCTACGTAGAAAAATGACCCACTTTTCTGTAGAAAATATGGCCTTGGGGTCGTTTTTCTCCGTGTGCATTGTAGAAAAATGACCCCGTTGAATAATGACCCATTGTCATTTTTTGATGCAAAAACATTCCTTTTGGCAGGAATATTCTAATGTTAGGCGAATGTATACGGGTAATATCAAGCTGCCTTATGCTTTGAATTGTCAATTTCTGAAAGCTTTTAAGCTTAAATAACGAAATCAAAGTATACAATACCTTACATTAATAATACAAACTGTTAAATCCCCATTAAAGGAAAACAATATAAATGTTCTAACTATAAAAGGCTATTAAAGCAAACATACGCGCGTTCATAGAAACGTTTACTAAGTATTACATTTTATACAGTAAGTTTCCATAGTTGTCATTTTAATCTTTAAAAATAGGTCATTTTCTAGCTGGTATCAGGAAAAAAGTTTCCATAATTAATGAATTATAAATCTCTTTTATTTTACCTTCGATAGATAATATGCAAAAATCAAAATAAAGTTTTATATTTCAAAAGTATAACGTTTTTGATCCCTACTTTTAAAACTGGCGCGAAAAAGGGGGCTAGTTTAAAAATTAGATCTTATAAAAATATTTGGTCTTCTAAGAATAAAGTTTCAAACTTCTCAGAAAAAATAGGGATGATTTAATTTGTAAAAATAAATACGAAATTAAATTGCCTCTGACCTATGATACAGTGTACAAGGGAAACAAAAAGTGGTTAACTTAAAACCTGTAAAATGTCTTTTGTCGTATGCTAGTGTCAAGAAAACCTTAACAAAATGGGTGTTGTAGCATGAAAAATGATTAGCTAAAAAAAGAAGTGCTCGTCTTTTCAGAAATTGGCACATGCAGTATCGTATTCCCCGTTCTACATGTACTTATGATGATTTTAGGAAGGTTTTTTTTTTTACCAATAGAAAAAAAACAAATGTTGGATGATGAAAAAGTTGTTACTTTACATGTTATACTTATGCCCCCGTAAACGAAGTTTCGGGGATATATAGTTTTTTTACCTGTCCGTCTGTCTGTTTGTATATTTGTCCGCAAAAACTTGAACCTTGCCCATAACTTTACACCGGGTGGAATTATGGCTTTCATATTTCACAGGTGTATTTTTGTGACAAGACCTTTTTTGTGTACAACCAATTTTGACCTGATATTTTTTCATACTTTCAAATGCAAGTAGGGGGATTATTAAAAAATCGCGAAATAAAGTCGTCGCGAATAAAAGTTGGTTTACAGTATACCATTCTCTCTTTCTTATTTCTTAATAAAATGCAAATTTCTCCTTGTAAGGTCTCGTTATAAGGCATTAGGGTTGCGTTCGACGGCATTCGCAGCAAACCCGAGTAAGAGTAAGCCTCAGAATTCCCCCGTCTCCAATGTCATTGACATGAAAATTATATATGTATATTACGTAGGTTTGTTTTCTAAATATTTACATTTCCAATGTCTTTGTCCTAGATAAAATTACCAATTGTAAATGTAATTGATTTCCTCATGAATGTTTTGGCGCGGTTCAAAAAAAACCACGTGCAGGGC